GGCCTTTTTTTCATTAATTAATAAAATAATATTAAAATAAAATAAATAAATAAAAAATAAATAAAATAAAATTAATTAATAAATTTAAACAAATTTGTTATTTTAAGTACAGAACACATTCAGCCTCCTCCCTGGACTCGTGTATGCTAACCAAAAATATAAAATGATGAATGAATGAATAGGAAAATAATTACATCAGCTTATTCAGTACATTAATCAATTGTTCAAATTCATTAACTCTAGTAAGACGACTGAACGAAAACCTACAAATAAATCTTGTTGGTTTATTTATTCTATATTCTTTATGCCTTATGGTTTATTTTAGGATCGATGCTAATTACAAATTAGTGTTATATGTTATTTGGTATCTTGCAATCTAAAGCGAACGACGAAGACAGAAATTCACATTAATTACAAAAATTTATAAAAAAAATAAAATTATGGAAAAGAAATTTAGATTTTAGAGAACATTATCGAACGTGAAATCTAAACACCAGCCTGATTTGTGGTTTGTTTACAATTATTTACATACCTATTTTAGATGTAGTTAAATACCTATTACCACACATATACACATTAGGAATAATGATGATAAATGCATCATATCATCATCAGCCTATCACGGTCCACTGCTAAACCGACCCCCTCCCTCCCTAGGATCGCCAACTATTCCGGTCTTGCGCATTCCGCACCCAAAGTTCAGGGCAAGTAAGTTCCCCCAAATGGAAGTGTGAGAATATTAGTAGGTAGTAGTGGAGTAGGTAAACAGCTAACCTTTAAGCAACAGGAAATATGATTTTCTTTACGATCTGAGGCGTGTGCTGTAAAGGAAACAAGGATAATAAAAAAATAATACAAATTTTATATATTTATTGTACTCTAAAAATCTTATATTATTGCCACTAACAAGGCTTGCCATTGGTTGGACACTTAAGTCATGCGCCTTTTAGGCATATATACCTACTATATAATATGTAATATATATAATCATTCGAAATTAAAAAACTTTATGGTCAAACATGAGTCTGACTGACAATAATCTAAGAATAATAAGTGATGTCATCTTCCACCTCACATAGATACCTTTATTTAAATCTGAAATTAAAGCTTACGATGGGTGACCAGGTACATCGCTCCCGTCCCTGGGGCAGTCAGCCGTACTGTTTTAAGCTTAGTTATAGGAATATTACAATACTTTTTTAAAAAAACGACTGTTAAACAGTCGATATAAACTTTAAAAAAATTATAATAAAAACATTACTTCAATAAATTGATGAATTCTTTGTCAAAAAATATCACATCTTCCTTTTACATTTTTAATACAATTACACTTTTATTTTTATATTATAAAGACACTTACAGTCTGACATTGATTATACGCCATTCTTAACACAGCAGTGTGTTGTCACCCATGAACCCACCCATGAGCAATTCACGGGTGACAACACAGAGAAATTATTACTTTGAGCCTCCGATAACTTCACACAACAAGTTTTCCGTATATATTTATATATATATAACATGTACCCGAAACATGTATCTCCCACGATTTAAAAAAATGATCTATTATCTCATGCACTTCTTTTTTGCTTCTGAATTAACCATGATGATTAATTTTTATGCCTATTAACGTTTTTTTTGTGTTCCTTTACGATAATATAAGGAATATCCTTAGTGACTACTTACGTTTTTAACATAAAATGTACCAAACTAAGTATACTTCGAAAGGTTTAGGCAGTTAAAGACTAACAACAAAATGTATGTGACTCATGGGCCTTAAAATTGTATTATAAAAACGTATATTTTTCTTCCAATATAAAGTCTAGCTGTTGTCCCCTCTCTACATAAAAGGGTCATGAAATACCCTCATTACATTAACTTCACATACAAAGCTTTAAATTATTAAATAAAATACCATTTTGAAAAAAATATTAGAAGAAAAATTTATAATTCTTTGGAACTAGAATTTAGTTAATATTATCGTAGTAATCTACCTGCCCTAATTATCGCAAAATTTGTGTGATTTATATTTACATTTAGCTTAATACTTACACGTTTCGAATAAATGCACAACTTTTCATCAGGTCTGCTGGAAGCTAAAGGTCTTCTCTTTTTATCACTTTAAAAAAATGGATATTTAAAAGCGTTTGTTTCACAAGTTCCCATTTCAATAATAATAACTTGAAAAGCCTGTACAATGGTAATCAGGCTGCTGATAAATTTAATTATAGATAAATTACACCCAAAACAGAGCAAAGATATTCACAACGCAATTATTTATCTTAGATGGGAACCGAACCCACGACCTTTAGCAGACAACTAGACCAACAGACCAGTCAAATAATTAAAATGTGTTTATAGCATAAAAAATGTTATCTTAAATTAATACGAAATTCAAACTCAAAACTTAATAGTAGGTTATTAATTTTTGAGTTTAAACATTTTAAGTCACTTTTGTTAAAGAATATAAACCTCTAAAGTCATTCCTTATATTTATTTATTCTATAACTAGGTTTTTCCCGCTGCTTCGTTCGTGTCAATATACAATCAATTATACCTACGCGCTAATCTCAAGAACTACTGGTTCCAATTTAAAAAATATTTTACCGCTGGAAAGCGTTTTTATAGACGAAAGCTGGCTAGGCTAGGAAGGCTAGGGCTGCACTATAGTGGTATTTCCTTTTAATTTAAAACGATCGTGCCGAGTCATAGACTAGAGATGTTTTGATAACTTGTCCTTAGAGGGCGGTCAGCTCTCACTTGTGGCTTCAAGTGCCACACCCTGGTAACTGTATCGAGCATGGGCAACGGCAGCATGAAAGGCAATCGTATGTCATCATCTTAGATATAAGGTATGAACCGCAATATAAAACATAGTTGCAAGCGTGGCAAGGAATGCTAACACGGTTTTAACACTGCGATGAGGAAGGCATTGTAAAACCACCTCATAATCTCTACCTGTTAAAAATGATCATGGCACAAAACTTCACAAAAAGTGGTTATATTTACTACTCTGGAAACAACGAAAATCACCATAGATTAGTTTGTTCACCTCTTAGTTTCATCATTGAATAATTCGTTCATAGGTATTTAATGTTTCTTTCTGTACGTCGTTTAATAATCAAGGTCATAGTTTGACTAGACTCTCTCATGTTGAATGAACTTAAAGATAAACGTAAACTATAATATCTCGGACACAAAGCGGTGAGATAAATATAACATTGCAATTAATGGTACAAGGTAAACATCAAGGGAAAAGAACCGTGGGAAAAAGACGACATTACTGGCTGCGGAATTTTGCGAGTGGTTCGACTGCGCTTTAAATAAACATTTTAGATCCGCAGTATCCAAATCTCGAATGGCCTTAATGGTTGCCAACCTTCAGAAATGCTACATAACACGCTACGACCAAAAGGAGCAAAAATGGGAAAAAGTATTTCTTTTAAGAGCTTCCGTTACGTGCGCTGCGTAAAATACGCAACAATCGGGTATGACGAAATTGTTTCTCGTAAAAAGTTATAAAAAACACCGCGATAGCATTGTCTATCTTTTAAAATCTCTCTCTTATGTGACACGCGGATTAGCTAGTTTTATATAAAATGAAATAACCGTTATATACTTACAAGTTCTAAACAGAGGTAGAGGCAGAAGCAGAGGAAAGAGAATAAAAGGTTTTTAAGGCAAGTAATATGTTCCCTCGCGTTTTTACAACGTGGGAATGATTTTGTGAAAAGGTAGAGAAGTGTATAGCAAGATGGCGGGAAGTGAGCGCTAATTTTATTGTTGGCTGTCAGATAATAAGCGAGATGTCAGAGACAGACATACAACATGCGACTATGATAAGGCTCGTTTGTTTTTTACGTTGATATTATTCTACTTATATAAAAAAATTATATTACCGAAGGCAGTAAAATGTATGCTTGCCATGTACATTTCAAATACTGGGGGCTTAAAGCGTGTCTAATATCTCCTTACATCTTAATAAAAAGCGTCTATGTTTCAGAAAATAATCATGCTTTGCATGTCACAACAATATAAATATCTATGATGATTATAAACACAATTTTCATAAAACTTTTATTCATCCTGTTACCCTATAAGCTATATCCGTACTAATTTAATAAAGCATTTTTTTTTATAACTGCGGTTGTCTGATGAACATCATTCCGATTTTTTATAAATTTTTAATGTAGTACATACGGCAAATGAGACACGTGGTCAGTGAAACTGTAAATTATCACGCAGAATGGTTTAAGAACAATTATAACTTGCAAAAGTATGAGTGATGAAACGAGTCTGTTACAGTTCACACAGATTTAGACTTGACCAGGTATGTCGTTTGCCATTATATTGAGGGATATACTATATATCATAACACTACGACAGTAAAGAGCGGAATAGTGACACCTGTGAAACTGCGAGCAAAATCTAGTTACTAAATACTATATAATATATCTCCAAGACATTTGGTAAAAAATATCATATACCAAATATCGTGGATTTAATTAATATTATTATACATATTGTATGCTTTTAGTTATTTTTTACAACTATGGGCACACATATTCCTACTTAAACTAATAAAATGCATCAAATGATTTATAAAATTTATAAAAAATATTTAACAATAAAAAATTTAGATTATTAAATTTATCTCACGTGTAACGCGATTGTCAATTATTATGCCGATAATTATATAATATGCTGATAAGCAAGAGCCTCGAACAACCCTAAGATGTCAGAGACCTGCAATCAAGGGACTGATGCAAAAGGCAGAACTCTTCGCTACAACAGATCCTTGAAATTGCACTCTAATAATCTACCGCCGCCGTCAAACTTAAAGATTTAATTTAAAAAGAGAGGTATTATTTATTATTCATCTTTTGATCATATTCAGGGTCGTCCATTGTTTACACACGTAACACTATATTAATAAGACTGTATAATGGGCGATGTTGTCGTATTACGTATGTGTATGTTAATTGCCGTACGTCGTCTTCTCAGGTTGATGTTATGTCATCGCTGGATTCCTACACAGATAAATTGAATTAAACGACGGTCAGACATCATAATTTCTTTTTTTGTTTTTTTATTCTATGACTGAGATGACGAATGAATTCACAAAAAAAATAAAATAAATGAGAGATAGTCTCCTGATTCCGTGAGAGGCAAAATCTCAACATTTTTTATTTTAATCTTGTTTCATTCATGTCTATATTCTCACAACTAGAAATTATATATAACCTTACATTTTAAAAATATTACTGATTATATGCACATAAACCATGATAAATTGTAAAAAATTAAACATTCAAGTTAACATAAGGTAAACTCAAAATAAAAAAGAATATTTAACAATAGATACAATAATGATAATAACGTCACACATCTCACTCAGTCTATCCCTGGCAGTCTGGTCCCAAACTAGGCAGAGCCTGTATTATGGTAACCAATCTGGTGATAAACATATTTATATATTTGCAAATACATATCTATATATTTTAGATAAATTACACCCAGACACAGAAAAAATGATCGTGCTCATCACAGAGTATTTTTCCTGGGTGGGAATCGAACCCACGACCTCCGGCTTAGCAGTCAGGGTCACTAACCACTAGACCAACAAGCCTGTCATATCTACGTATCATAAGACATAACGATTAAAAGACACGTTGTGCACATGCACGGTGTGCATAGTCTTCATGGTAGCATTCACAGATTTTAGGGCCGCCTGTTTAGCCTTACCACCGTGTTAGGCGGCCATACTCCGTTTTTGTAAGCTTGTTTTAAATCATAAATATATCACATCAATTTCACAACTACTAGGTAATCTGTTGTAGCATGCTAAAATACGTAAACAATTACTTACACCTTCGTCGGCAGACAGGAAAACATCTTCGTCAACGTCATGATCATCTTTGAATTCCGTGGGAATGTAGTCCCACAGCACTGCTTTTAATGCTAATTTATTCTTCACAAGACGCCACGCTGATTCGTTGCCATTTTCAGTTTTCATAGGATTTGCCTTAAATAGTTAAGAAATGTAACTTAACAGTTAATAAAACCATTGTACCAAACCCACACTGCTCAGCCAGTTAACAATTTAAAAAATATTTAGAAATAATACCTATTCAATTATTTGTTAGAGATTTGCCGAAATTTAGTTTAAAAATGAAAACCTTAAAATTAAAAAAGAATGGTGTTGCTGGTTAAAAAACTATATAAATTATCATATATTCTAATGTTAACCATAACTTGACTCTGAGTAGACATCCTGAGAGTACCTGAAGATATAATCATAATAATATTCTACCACAGTCACACAACGCCATCTAGTCCCAAACTAAGCAGAGCTTGTACTATGGCTTCGGATATTATAGATAGACAACGGATATTAAAACATATATACTTTTTTTTGTAAATACATACTTATTATACATAGAAACACCCAGACCAAATCAAACATTAAATGTTCAAGCACACAAATATTTGACTTGAGTGGGAATCGAACCCGCGACCTTTGGAATAGCAGTCCGTTACACAAACCACTACGGGATACATTAAAAAAAAATCTTAGCTACACAACAGTGCTGAACATAATAAAAAATATTTTCACAAGTTCAACAAAGAGAGCTTCAGTTTCCAACAAAGTAACAATATTTTTTTCAAAAATTTAAGTTGGGTAACATACCTTTTTCTCCAGCAGAAGTCTAATAATTAGAACAGAATTTTCTCTTATAGTACCGCCACAAACAATTTGGAGTGCTGTGTTGCCCGAATTGTCGGTGACGTCTACATCGCTCTGGAAATATATACAACCCACACAAAAAACAATTAAATAAAGGTTTTCAAATATGTTCAAGTAATGTTGGTAAAGAAAAAACAATTGATGAAAACCCATAGACACGATATCTAGCAGTGGACATAAAAACTAGCTTTTTCTTTTGTGAGTGAATTTTTGAAGCTAGTTAGTGAAATAAAGTTATCTTGTCATTCTTCAGAAATAATAGTAGATAAAATAGTACCTCATATCTTCTCTGTACCCCTCACAATTTACATGCTAAATTATGTACTGATAGGTTGAGTAGTTCATGCGTAAAAGTAAAACTATTAGTTTTACAAACACAGACTCACAATTTTAGTACCTAATAGCTTTGATTACAATTTTGAACTAAAAGAGAAAAAGTGGGAGAAAATTTAAACTGACCTGGGGTATGAAATCAAGCAAAGCCTGGGTAACTTCAAGACTGTCATCATAGGCGGCCAGGTGTAATGGGGTACGCCCATACTCATCCCGTACACTGTAACTAGCGCCGTGTTGTAGCAAGAGGCGAGCGCTTCGCCCTGAGTCTTCAATTACAGCCATGTGCAACGCCGATTGCTTTTCTAACGACCATACAAGTTTACTGTTCATTTATTTCGTTAGAATAAAAAATAATATCAATAATACCTACATCAATTATAAAATTGCTAAGACAACACAACAGTCTATCCTAATTATGAAACTGAAAAGTTTGTTTGTTTGGTTGATCTCAGAAACTACTGCTTCGAATTGAAAAATTCCTTTAGTATTATACAGTTTCTTTATCGAGGAAGGCTATAGGCTATCTAACACCACGCTACGACCAATAGGAGCCAAGCATCAATGCAAAATGTGGCAAAAGCGGCCAAAAATTATTCCTTTTGAGATTGGCAGATGAAGATGAGCGGGTCAGCTGGTAAAAAATATAACTGTTATTATTATACTTACCGCCGTTATAGTCGTTAATATTGCAAGTCACATTATTTTTCTTAATAGCTTCCAATAGTGGTTGTAGGCAGAACCCCGATTTTACAGCGTAGTGAATTGCGTTGTACTCTTGATCATCCTTTAACATAGGATCAGCACCTAGAATGGTGCAGAATTGTTTACGTAGTACGCAACTTTGGTTGGGAGCTAGATGCACTTACATCCCAATGACTACCTACTAAAATTAATAACTAAATGTGTCTTTTTTTTCGATATGCAACGATACAGGTAAAGTGTTGATGTATTTAAGATTGCTAGTTGATTTTATTTAGTGAAAGACAATAATTAGGTGTGTTAGTATTCCCATATATAAATATGTATAGGTCAAGACACTGATGCACGGAAAATATCGAAAGAGTATTTACAGCATTTAAGCGATTGTTTAAACTGTGCACCATGTTTTGTAACAGTAAATAAATAATGAAAAATCTTTCAAAAAAATATTTATGTAATTTTTTTGCCTTACACACACGCTATACGTATGTAGAGTAACTCTCTAGTGTGAGCCCCGCTCAATCAACATACACATCAGGACATTCGTGACTTGGTTATCGTATGTCTTTGACAATACACATGACCTCTGAATAATCTCTTAAAAAAAATGAAAGCATCATTGATCACTTAAGGGTCGACACTGGTTTTCCCCGCAGTCTCACTAGTTAATGTGGATTCTATCAATAAATTCAGTCATCTCATTGGTGCAGTACCTTGTATAGACGAAAGGTATATTACATCTTTTCCTTGTACAAACAAACTACCCTCAGTATTTAAACTACTTTTTATGGTATGGGGAAGACAAGGGTCACCTAATGGTAAGAAAGTACTGCTGGCCATGGACACCTACAACTTAAGGGTCACAAGGGCGTTGTGGCCTTCTGAGTCACCCAGAGGTATGGGGCCCGATAACCACGCAGTGAAAAATAATAACAGAATTGCGCCTGAATTGCTGCATCCAGCCAAGGCGTGTCGAAACAAGATCTGCCATGGGTTAAAGACCTATTTCTTAGCGTTCCATGGATTCACCGTACGGGTGCCCGGCCCATAGCTTGATAGATGGGGGCAACACATGCGAATTCGACAGCGCCTATTGCGACCCAGGAATAGGTTTAGGGTGTACACCTTGCGACACGTCAGCGCTCACCTCCACTGTCTGTTATCAGTCTACTGCGACACTACTGAACTACGATGTTTTAGGTGGAGCGACTGTCGTCAGACCTCTACAACCCAAGTACTAAGCGATATCGAAGTTCTGTAGATAGACTGTTGTCGGCCCCAACTAACCGGTAGCGACTGTTACAAATATTTGTATAGTAACCAGGACCGATAGCTTAACGTGCTCTCCGAGGCAGGCAGGGGTCTTAATATGTTAGGGATGGTCCCATCCATAACACTGACATGGATAGGACAGTTAAATAGTAGTAATATTGTTATTTACCTTTAGTGACGAGCAAAGAAACGATTTGGGACATGTCGTTTAAGATTGCTAAGTGTAACGTTGTCTGCAGTTTATAGTTGGAATAATTGAGCAGGTGGGTCGCTTTCACAATGTCGATCATCTTCACAATAGAATATACACAAGCTGGATCGGAATACACGCTCATATGAAGGAACCTTAAATTAAAACAGCAAATATGATTATAGTACAGTAAAATGTAGATCAATAAAACTATGAGATTTAAGTTACAACAGAGTCTAAAGTACAATACAATAACAATATCTATTTCTATATAGGGTTTTGTTGTAATACTGTATTACCAAGCGATATAAATCAATTAAAAATATAACAGTACTACCTCATTTCAAAATGATCTAATATATAAAATTCTCGTGTCGCGGTGTTTGTTACCTAACTCTTTCGAAACGGCTGGACCGATTTATTTTATTTTGATTTAGCATTGAAAAATACATACAACTTCAAATTTTCACCCTTCTACGATCAACCCCTGTTTTTTAATGGCAAAACAACGTTTGCTGGATCAGCTAGTAATATTATATTTTTGTTGTGTATAAAATAAAATCAAAAACAGTTGAAATACCCCGCAACTAAAACGGCTCTTAGGTCGTTCAAAAGAACACAGCAATGCATTTATTGATAAAAAGAGTATTACTGATATAGGCAGAGAACGATGCCAAGGCACATGCGATATAGGTTTGAAAAGAGAAGAAGAATAACACTAAATACTTACATGTCTCCATTTGACAATCGTTTTTCGAATAACAGTTCCAAACGCTCCCTAATTTCCTGTTTCTTGAAACCTTTCTTGTCTTTGATCATTCCACATAATTCTTTAATCAGCTATAATTCAAAACAACAACATGACTTGTTTGACTTTATACTTGCTACTATATAGTGACGTCGTAACTAATACTGAAATAGTGTTTTCAGACCATCATTCTGAGTCAGACCGAACATACTATTTTAGTTATATTTACATAATAGGACCATTGCGATTATGTAAGAAAATACTTTCTGGGGACTCACCGAGTTCAAATAACAATATCTAAATGTCCCCAAATAATTTTATACAGTTAGAGCGGACCCCCTGGTGATGGATTAAGAATACGGCGGGTCGCCCATCCCTATTCATCTCTTGGGTGTCATAAGAGTCGACTAAGGGAGCAAACTACGCAGGACAATAGCACTGCAAAGAGAAGGATAACTTGAGACAAACCCTATACCAAACCGTTCGGCGGGCGTAGGCCAAAACGAAACAACGTAGGCCAGCACGGGGGAAAAGCGACATCGAAGGGCCCAGTCGTACCCTATGTTCTACAGGAGTGGTCCGAGAACTGATCCCTGTGGAACACCACACGACACACAAATCACCATTTCGGTCCTTTCTAGGGAAAGGTCTATGTCCAGCAGTGGACTATTAAAGGCTGTTAATGATGATAATGATGAGAGCGGACCTGTACATTAAGTTTAGTAGACTGTTTATCAATGTGTTTATGTTACACAGGGGAAGCGATGAACCGAATGCTAATTTTTAGATTGAAACTGATGTAGGTACATTCCTGAAAAAATGAGCCTATTGTGTGGTATAGTCTAAGTTTAATCAAGTTAAAAATAAGAAGATAATGTTTTGAAAGGTAGACAAATGCCATCAATACCTTTTTAACTTCGATGCCGTCTTCTGCTTTGTAGAAAGCGTTGTACTCGTCGCTCTTTAGCTTAAGTTTATACTTCTTCCCTGTCCGTTGGGTTTTTACTACAATTGGATGAGAACAACCTTGAGCCTGTAGAAAATTGTCACCAAAATCCGACTAGAAACACAATATTTTAACCATTTAATAAAATGTATACATGTAATAGAATCAACGTTATTGTTGTTTAATGTTTAGGCTTATATTAATTTGATGGAATTCTTTATTTGTTATTTTATCTGCTAATTTATATGTTTATTTTATTTTTGGCATTTTGTAATTTGGCCACTCATCATGTATGAGGTGTAAATAAAAATCAGATTAGTTGAATACTGAAGCTAAACAATGACTAAAACCATGCCTAGAGAGCCAGATTTGATTAATATGTTTTCTTTCAGACCTCTTACATACCTCGAATTTAATGTTGTAGCCTAGGCCGGAGTCCGAGACTAGGGTTGCAGATTGGCTCTCCAAACTTTCCAATATCTAGTGAAAAATAAAATAAATAAATGTATATTTCAATTTACAAAGAAACTTAACATAACTTTAAAATGTAAATACAGCTACTACAAAGATAAGATAAATTTACTTATTATTAAAAAAAAAAAAAAACTAAAGACAAATCGACTTCTTATGTGTCGCCCCGAACTCTTGGAAGGCAGCGTTTGTGGGCCTATAACCATAACTTCTTTGTTTTCTTAGATTATGGTATCCATCATAAACTGCCCGTTCCGCCAAATACTCAGATGATCACCGGCAACTCAATGACTGACAATACGGTTTCTATCGGGGTGCTTAGCTTCTATTCTTGTCGTATATCCAACTCACCGGTGGCATACGTGAACAAAACCAAGGGATAGGCTTGTGCGGTTAGCTTGGACATAGCGAAGGCTTTTGATTGGCTCTGGCACAAAGTGCTTCTCTTGAAGCCTTCTCTTGATTCGCGACAAAATTGACCAACTGGGTCACCAGTTGTCTAGTATACAGCGGCATTAAAGTCGTTTTCGACCGTTCATGTCCAAGACTGTAAATGCTGTGTCCCGTAAGAGAAGACTGTTTTTTCTGCATGTCAATGATATTTTGCAAATCAGCAGCATCTATTGTTATGCAGATGATAGCACGGGAGATGCATTTTACATGGGCCGCACTAACATTTCTCACGAAAACGTCATCGATTGACGAAACAAACTTGTGTCTGAAACGATTGGGATGGACTGAAACTAGTCCAATTTAATCCTAAGAAGACACAGGCTTGCGCGAATATGCAAAAAAAGTTAGCATTTGTCGCTGCCAGCATGGGAATCCCCGGCATAGATATAAACTATATATTATACTCTGCATTCTCTATCGTTTGTATCATGGAGAGTGCTCCAAAGAACTGTTCGAACTAATACCAGTTGCGGTTTTTCGCCATTCTTCTAATAACGCCGCAAAACATCCATCCTCACCACTTGGATAATTGACACTGTAGGCTTTTCCAGAAATTATATGCTTCGCACAAGTAAATTGTGGAACAAATCGTCACTTATAGTATTTTCGAACCGATATTTCAAAGGCCGGCAATGCGATTGTGACTCCTAACTTGCAGGCGTTCATCGTTCCGGCGGTGACTTACCATCAGGTGAGAGGTCTGCTTGTTTGATCCCTATGGTGTAGGAAAAAGAAAAATCCTCACCGTAATTGCAGTTTACCTTCAGAACAACTGCTAAGACTGTTCTGCTATAAATTATTGGAGATCCTTTTATTGGGAGATTATACTTTGTATTTACAGATTTATGAGTGGGGGTCTATCTAGATACTATTTAATGTTATTATACTACTTACATCGCCAGGAAACATCTCGTGGAAGTGCCGTAAATACTCTGCAAAAGGATAAAAAAAATATTAAGGTCGCATTTTAAATTATGCAAAAAAAGAAATAAAGTGGATGCTGTCATACAGTGGTTTTGATGAAAAGAAAATAATGCGTCATAAAAAGATTATAATAATACGGAAAAAAATTAACCGATAGCTGACGCTTCTGGACAACTGGATTGATATTGTCCAATATCCTAACAAAGACGACCGCCAAGAGGTCAACCAAACCCAGAGCTGTCTGCACAGGTGTTAAAAAATGGAAAATATTTGCAGTTACTACGCAAATAATATCTTCTCAATAGTTTGAACTTTAAATCAATCATTCTTCAAAGCAAATTTACCTATTCTCTACAAAAATTAATAAAATATCATAAATTGACGCACCCTTGACTGGATGAATGAGCTATTTACCTTAACGCGATTAATGATTACATGAATGACAAAAATTGCACTTTGAAACAGCTTACTGTTTAAATTCTTGTGAAAAAAAATAACTTACCATCTTTATCGAATGTACTCATGACCTCCGTATGATCAATATTTTGCAAGGATAGGTTAGCAAGGTTGCTTACATCGTTCAAGTCCAAATCTGCCAAATGTGGTAGTTCTTCATTTGTTAGCAGTACGTAATTTTCAGAACCTAACAATGGATCTGATCCTGGAAAAATACCAGTCTCTGACTTAACGTATGAGTTATCACCTTCATTAAGATCTTGGTTTTCTGGATATAAAAACTGAAAAACCAAAAACACTTCTTAATTTCAATTTTTTTTTAATAAAAAGCCTACTGGATTGAGGAGCCACTTATCATATCTTAATGAAATTAATATTATTATTTAGTAGTAAAATAAAAAAAATGCCCATCGATCCTCGATTTTGTAGTATAATACTTTTTAAGTTATATGAATATAAAGGTGGCTCCTAAACCAAAATGTTTGGATTGAGGAGCCACGTCAGAACTGCGAACATAATGGATGTATGTATATTTATCATAATTTAGTATGAATTTGTAGTATTTGATATTAGTTAGTAGACAAAATCTGAGCTCGGTAATGTTAAAATTAAGAAAGCTACCATACATTATATGCTTCGTATGTGGCTCCTCAGGCCATACATACGTTTTTTCATTTTTCAAAGAAGCAGTCTTTCAATTGATGCGCAATTTCTTCATCATTTAGTAGTAAGTATATTAAATTTGTAGTGTAGTCAGTAATTAAAAATGAGTGAATTGGGAGATATGGCACATTTTAACTGGCTCCTCAATTAAGATGCTTCGGTAAATAGATTTGACTCTAATATACTTATAGGCGGACGTACTTGTGAGGAAATTTGGAACATAAAACATCTATATTTTGTATAAATTTACACTAAACTAGCCGACCCTGCAAACGTTGTTTTGCTATTTACATTATTGATTTTTTTTTTTTATTTCTTAAAATCCGTTCTTAGCTGACCTCTACACGGTGAAAAGAATATTCCTACCAAATTTCAAGTCTTTAGCCCTAATGGTTCCAGAGATATCGTGATGAGGGACTATATACGTGGAAATCTCTTATATATATATATATATATATATATATAGATGTACGCATAATCCTGTCATAAAAAAGTACAGTATCTACGAAGTTATTACCTATTCTTTAATTTGCCAACAATTTTTAGTAGGTAGTACAATAATAGGTTTTATGTAATTTATCAGTACAATTAGCGACGCTGGCATGGGACAACTATACATGTCACTACCTAACAAAGGATGAGATGTTTTGTTATGACGACTATGATTCTCAATGTAGGTGAAAGCACCGACCAACCAATATTAATTCATTGTATAACTTACGAGTACTCGTATGTCCAATTTGATTAATATAACTTTGGATATATCTTACTACCAATTTCAGAATTTGTCCTAGTAAATTATTTGCTAATCTATTAAATATGGGGTGAGTTTCCGTTTAAAATCTAAAGTGGCTACTCAATCTTTAGGGACACAATATATCCACAATGTGTCGCCGGAGACTTTATAAACATACATGAACTGACACAGAGAACTCAGACTCGGAACAACAACTTGTGGATCAAACAAAGTATTGTCTCGTGTGGGGATCGAACCCACAACATTATAAGCGGAGATGTGACCGTTTAAACCTCAAGCTACGCCACCCGTGCAGTTCTTTTGCCAAATGCGTGGTGTATACGAGTCATTGATACCGCTGATAATCTGGACAGAAGGGGATGGTATCAATACTCTAATAAACTAATTGTCTGCATTTCTCTCGGATGGCCCTTATCAATCTTGCAATTACAGAAGAAAAATACTCGTGCACACCACACCATACTATCAAATACTACAGTCACGTTCACCTAAACAAAACCTAATGGTTAATGCTGTCAGGTTGATAGCATTAACCATGAGACAGACATTACAGACCTTGAATAACCAGACTTTAAAAATATTAAAACAATAAAAATACTTTATTGTTCCCTCGTTCACAGTTCACTACTATGCTAAGGGTTGAGCCTCTGATCCCCACATGGGACGACACTTTGCGTGATTCACACATTCATAGCCTGGGTGGTCTTTGTGTCCGCTTCATGTATTTTTGTAAGTCCCCCGCGACACTGGATATATTATAAATGAGGAATAATGATTTTTTTAGAAATTAAAAAAAAAAAAAAAAAATGTTCTCAAGTGTGGAATCCTATGTATAACGTCTATGTTGATCGAATAGAGTGCATTCAGAAAAGGTGTTTTAAGATATAATTTTTTACAAATAAATAAAATTAAATAAATAAAATTGAACTGCTGGGCGTAGGCCTCTCCCATTGCACGCCATTTAGATCGATTTTGGGCTTCTCGCATCCAGCTCCTGCCAGCCATCTTGGCAAATCGTCACTCCACCTAGCCTGTGGGCGTCCTACACTACGTTTGCCGAGACGCGGTCTCCACTCAAGAACTCGTTTTCCCCAACGGTTGTCTGCGGTTATTATGGCCAGCCTGCCACTTCAGCTTGCTGATCCGGTAGGCTATGTCGGTGACCTTGGTTCTCTGCCGGATCACCTCATTCCTGATGCGATCTCTTAGAGAAACGCCGAGCATAGTTCTTTCCATAGCACGTTGAGCGACTTTGAACTTGTGGACCAACCGTACCGTAAATGTCCACGTTTCGGCTCCGTATATCATAACGGGTAGGACGCACTCATTGAAGCCTTTTGTCTTAAGACACTGTGGGATTGACCATGAGAAGACTCGACGTAGCTTCCAAACCCAACTCAATTCTTCTGTTCACCTCGTCCTCGAAGTTGTTTCTACCTAACTGCAATGTCTGCCCGAGGTACACATAATTTTGAACAACTTCGAGAACGGCACCGTGTACTGCAATCGGTTCCGGTAGTACAGGTTCGTTGAACATGACCTTGGTTTTATCCAAGCTCATCCGTAGGCCGATGCGTACTAGCAGTGAAAACTTTTAATTGGCCTTCACCTATTAGTCTTATATTAATTGTACCTACCTTTGAGTTTTCCTAAAATATAAAAATAAAATATATTTTTTAGGAATCTAACCTCATTAAATGTAAACATAGAAGGCAGCTCAGGTATTTGTGAGGTGTCTCCCGGTAACTGTTGTGGTTGCTGCGTAAAAAACATTTTTTTTAGTTTTCTAATTTATTTCTTAAAAACACAAAATATACGTAAACTAGCTGACCCGCGCAACTTCGTCTGCGTCTCTCAATAGTAATAAATTTTCTCCGTTTTTTAAACATTCTTCATTGGTGCTCCGCTCCTATTGGTCTTAGCGTGATGATATATAGCCTATAGCCTTCCTCGATAAATGGGCTATCTAACACTGAAAGAATTTTTCAAATCGGACCAGTAGTTCCTGAGATTAGCGCGTTCAAACAAACAAACAAACAAACAAACAAACAAACTCTTCAGCTTTATAATATTAGTATAGATTAAACTTACACTAAAAACGTGTACTGGATTTTCACTCATGGCAGTTATTGTTGTCACTGAAACAGATTAAAATGTAAAACACACACACACATATCCAGGAAAAAGCGACAAAATCAAAATTCTCCTGGTAACACGAAAACTACAGGGCAAGCGGCTTATGCCCCAATTCTGCCAAGTATGAGCCACTGTCATCCCGTTGACACGCTATTGAGATGTCATTAGTGTTGATCAAACTATCAGTTTTCTACTAAAATCAATTCAGTGTCAATAGACTGTCGATGTAGTGGCAATGGTGATATTAACAATATTGCCATATCTGGTAAATTAAATATATAGTGTCCTTACAAATTTAAAATGTACCGTTTACCAAACTATTACAAAGACATCGACAACGTTTGTATCAATGGCAGTTCACTGCTGGACATAGGCCTCTTCTTAGTAAGGAGGTTTTGGCCTACTATACCTTCTCTTTTCTTCTCTTTGCAGTGTTGTTGTCCTGCGTAGTTTGCTCCCTTAGTCGGCTCTTACTACAATCACGGGATGAATAGGGGGTAGTGATACTCTGTATTCTTAATCCGCCACCACATGAATTTCCTCGTATCAAATAGTAATATTTCTTACCTGGATTTTGTTTAACAGTTCCTAAAGGAATGTTATTAAATCTGTTCGATGAGTTAGTTTTCCTTCTCTTTACTTGTTTGTAGAATTCTTCGGCTTTATATTTGAACTCTACGGGTTCGCTCTTGTGGCCGTCGGTAGTTCGCACTAGTTCAATATATACTTTTACATCCACTGGACTCTTACGATCTCTGTATGCTGGAGTCCTAAAAATTTTGTAATATTTAAAAATAACCTTTTGATTTTTATGAATTCGAGCTTTTCTGAAAGATCTCTGACGTCATATTCATAGCTTAAAGAGAAACTAGATATTCCTATATACCCAATAAATAAGGTTACAAGAAGAATTATCCCCCCCCCCCCTACCCCACCCACTGCACTCAGTATACAGTTAACACATAAGTAAACATAATTTATAAATATGTAGACGCAACAATCGGCGGTATTAGATATTAATAGTTGCAGGTGTTTAAAGGCGGCGGTAGCCTCTTATCAAGTGGTGGCCTGTCTGCTCGTTCGACCCCTTTATATTAATATTATATTCATACTATTAGAATATCAAGAAATTTTAATTCTGAAGTTTAAAAGGTGTTTCTTGTGTTTATCAAATGTTCTGATGGCATTACAAATATACGTACCTAAACGCAATAGCGTATTGGTGATGTACGTCGCTAGGCGTGAACTGACCGACACCTTCCCAAATCCTTCTTTGTCCAGTTTCATCAAGCTCAAAAAAGCAAATACTCACATGCTCTGTAAAACCAATTAAGTTTCTTGAATGTTTAATTTTGTTTGGCATTGACTTTTTGGTATCATCTAAGTGTTAAGATAAAACTCTGTAATTATATTTTACAATAATATAAGTGAGATTTCGATCAACGAAATCCAAACATATATAACATAACATAACACTTGGATGACATTCCTAAATGGAACATAATGCATAAAAAAAATTTTGGCTCGAAAAAAATCCAAGTAAAATTATAAACTTTTAAACTTTCGCGTTCCATGATAATTAATATTATTTAACGGGAATTAACGCGATCTCTTATTTAGGCAAACGTCAGGCAAACCAGAGGTATGTAATACCCTAAATAAGAGATCGCGTTAATTCCCGTTAAATAATATTAATTAAAATTATAAAGATTGTTAGGCTCAAGAAGAAAAAGAATTACAGTTAATTGATTGCAAAATTTATGTATTGTCTACACTCTACACCGCGGCACCGTGACGATCGAATAGGGTACACTATACAATGACTGGCACATTAAGGATTCTTTAATCAGTCATTGCCACTAACTTTTAATTACCAGCTACTTATTTCAATTTAAGCCCGGCAACGCGCTTGTGACTCCTGAGTTGCACGCGTTCATGGGCGGCGATAGTCGATTTCCATCTGGTGACCCGTCTACTCGTTTGCCCCTTCTTCCATAAAAATAATAATTATATTTAAATAATTATGAGTAACAAGTTTACTAAAAATTAATTAGTATAAACATTAATATTATTAAAATGTTAAACATTAATATTATTAAAGTGTTTAGTCTATACAAATAAATAAAATTAAAGTGCCTGTTTGTAACGTCAAAATAATAGGTTTTTGCTCAATGTTCACACCGTTATTTGCACGATATCTGTGCCTAAAAACCAGTTTAAATATTATTTGTCTGTTTGTCTATGTGTTTATTCCGGGTAAAACGGCTCCAAAACGGCTAGACCGATCATGAACTGAAGTCGTATACCTGTTTGTGCACGCAACCGTAAAAAAGTTCTAAAGTAAAGAAATAAATGAAATAGAATATAAAGTTAAGAAATTCATTCGAAGAGCAAGCGGCGTAGTAACTGGTATGGGACATCACCATGGATTGTAAAGGCAAAACAGTATTAAAATCGTTCCTTACTTTTATTCACTTTCTCCACAAATATGAAGACATCGTCACCGCCAGATGGACTTCCACTGAACCGGCTCATACGGACTATCTTCAAATTATTAGTAGCTGCACTTTCTAAATACATCGCAAATAATTATATTAATATAACTGACACTCGCAATAATAAATTTCACATCAACAGCCTTTAATAGTCCACATAGTCCACTGGTCCACTGGTATAGGGTTTGTGTCAAGTTTGCCTTCTCTCTGCAGTGCTGTTGTCTTGCGTAGTTTTCTCCCTTAGTCGGCTCTTACGACACCCACTGGATGAATAGGGGTGGTGACACTCTGTATAATTATATATGTATATATGAATATATATAATAAATTTAATATTATAATATTTTCGGACGTCTTTCACACTAAGCAGAACTTGTACAAGGAAAGCTAGATTGACTGATAGAATACTAACTTTTTGTCAATACCTACATATTATACATAGAAAACACCCAAACTCCGAAAAAAATATTTGTAGATCATACAAACATTTGGTCCGACCCGGGAATCGAACCCGAGACCTCAGCACAGCAGTAGCATACGTTCATAAATTATTAAAACATGGCTTCAAATTACTATACTTAGGTTGTGTACAAAGCAATTTTTATTTAAAAATTTACTAAAAATTGGCCAAAAACGTTCATTTTCGTTATAATATATATATATATATATATATATATATATAATACTTCTTTACTGTAGGAAAGATTTAAAACCACTATTGGTTGCTAAAACATTCTAAGAACTAACTACATAAGTTTTACTAAAGAACTGCATAGCAAAAAAAACTTACTCATGTTAAATATGGGTTCAGAAAATACAGGGTCGCATATCTCTTTATCAGTTTGGACATCGTGAGCACTGAATTTCAGTCGAACTATGTTAAAATTGATCCCTTTCGCCATCTTCTTACACTTCTTTTTAATCTTAAATAAAGAACATAATCATCAGATTAACATATGCATATCTGGTTTTTATCAGACATCTCAGACAGCAAGTATCAACAACAGTTAGTGTTATTTATTGTTCTAAAAATAAGTTCTATTGTCTGAGTGCTCATGAGAAATTAATCAATCATGCCAAACATTTGGTACTAAGTGAGATTGCATTCAAGATTTATTTATTTAAATTTTATATTTTCGTGAATGTCGGTTTTAGTAAAATATAAAATTAAAATACCTTAAATGTGGCTGCGTAAGAATAAACAAATGTGTAAGATTTGTCTTACAATTACACTAAATAAAATACACTCGAGAGCAATGAAACCGGGTAGAATTATAAATGTCCTTTAAGATTAAATTAAATTGTTATACCTTTTGATATGCTGCAACCAGGCTATACCATGGTAATTTCTATTTTATAATTTTAGATGTCTTTCACGAGTTCTTTTTAGAGACAAAGAAACCGATAATTGCTCTTGAGTGTATTTAGTGAATATCAATACGAGAATAGCAAATATAAATTATAGCTAGTTTAATTTCTATACATAGCCTTGGATCCAGTATCATACAAAGATAAGGAGCTAGTGGAACAGAACAGCTAGTGTTTCTTTGAAGGCATTGTGATTAAATAGTTAGTGACTATTAGCTGTTTTATCGGATTAAACGTTGTTGTGCAAAATTTATTGGCCAAAGAGTTTATTTATTTGTATCTTTGAAGAATCATACTTACTTCTTGCTGAGCTGTGTGTATAATGCCTAGGCCCCGGAATCTGAGAGAAACAAATCAATTCAATTTTAAAACAGTTAAATTTTAACACTAGGCCTTGTTAGGTATCAGTAGATATATAGTATTATATTTCATATTTATTACCCAAAGTAGGTAACAAATCTTTAAAAAGTATAATAGAGAGGCTTTGATCCACACTATACACTTACGAATGTACATCTGACAACGTGTATGCAAATGAATGATAAACTATTCAGTACTTTAAGATCGAAAATAGTTATGTTTTACTTAACGAATATTACGAACGTGAATCACAGATTAATGCTAGTGTTAGTAGCAGGCTCACGTCAGTCTCGTCCATAGTGATTGCACTATGGACGAGACTGAACCGCGCAGTCACTTGATCGCAAGCCTAACGCTATTAGCCATTACATTCTCTTTTTTTATGAAATTGGGGGCCAACCAGCAGTCAGGTCACCTGATGGTAAGTGACTACCGCCGCCTATGGACACCTGCAACTCAATAGTCACAAGTGTGTTACCGCCCTCTAAGTCCCATCAATGACTCGGTGAAAAGCAGCGAAAGAACTGCTTAACATCGCACCGCACTTCTGTGGGGACGTGGTATCACTGCGGTCGAGCCAGCCCATAATGACATGCTGTGTAACTAAGTAATGATACCAATATTATTTATACATACATAGACGAACAAGAGATTCTGTATTATGAAAGAAAGGAAGAATAATAATATTTACCCCACCATGTAACTGCCTTGTTCAGGTACAATTTGACTGACATCATGGTCATCTTCGTCATGGAGCCTGTGTGGATGCTCAAGTGAATTGTTGTGTTGAGCCAATGTACACCTTATCAATGCCTTATCTGTGTAATTCACCAACTAAAAAAATATAATGCATGACTGACATAGTATCTTTAATTATAACGTATGTTTAAAAACTTTAATACACATAGTTGTGTTGTGTTTATAAGTTTCAAAGAGATCCTGCCTGACTGCTAAGCCGGTGCAGCGGTGGCAGCGAGTTCAATTCCCAACCAGGAGAAATAATTGTGATGGGTACGATTATACATGAGCACAAGAGGGGGTCATTTACACGCCGTAGATGGCCCGAGGTACGTCGGGGTTTCAAGGATTTCATTCCCAGGGTACACCTGGTTCGCTGGCAAGTGGTACCCGTGACGGCGTGCAGTTTTTGGTCGGTTCGAATCCGACATAACCACCGGTGGGTGGTATCCAAGGGGATTTCCGCGCAGAAAAAGAAAGTCTATCTCCCAAGGATACACAGTAACCATTTTTATCTTTTGCATATTACAAAAAAAAAGTAATTTACAAAGGCTAATGGTAATAATTTACATATGGCTAACACGGTATTATTCCTTATCCAAATAAATACGTTATATACGTTGTACAGTGAATGTTGCTAGATCGAAATTTACTTTTACAGCCTATCATTAAAATGCATATCTTAGTTGATATCAGAGATTTAAAATGCGGGCCAAAGCAGCCGTCAACGCGTCGGGCCGTACGTACGTCCAAGGTGGCAGCGGCCGGTAGAAGTGGAGCGGGCCTACAAATATTGCATATAAAGATGTCCTGTCTTATCATAATAATAGTATATTTAATTACTCCACACGGACACCACATTAGTAGTATCTACATTGCACCTGTGCAAAGCCAGAGCGGATCGCTAGAGTCAAGATGTTATAATCATTAACAATATCATTTCATACAGATCAAGGTCTGGGTAGTCTCCATAGCTATAATATCATTTCTTACAGAAAGACAAGAACAAGTTACTTTCGCCCTGAACAAAGTTAATTGGAATTGTTAATCCATGTGAAGAAGACTCATGGTCGAAATAAAAGTGTACACAACTAAAGAATAGTAACTGCTGTTTTTAATTTTGGCTCTACGTCCTCTTTCAAGACACTATACTCTCGAACAAGGAAGAGAAATACAAGAAGAATTTAGACAACATTACTATTTGTTAATGAATCTTACTCTGAAAATCAACATCAAATTAAATAAACCTTTTACAAGCTTTACTTATTTTTTGTGCACAGAGTGGAAAAGAACAGCATACCTAAAACCTATAATGGTACTTTTATAGGGAATGAGTACAAAACTGTTGAAGTTTTGTACTACCAAATTATATTTAAAAAATTGCAATCATTAAAAACATTCAGTATTTTACAACATTATCTTATTTTGCTAATACAATCTTACCTCAACGCTTGGATAGCTTTTCATACTGTTGGTGGCTGCTGAATTGCTGAGCAAGCAGCCATGGGTTCCAGCCAACTCACTGACATACCGAAATCTGAAGCGGTTTTGTGGCTGTGCTATGATTCTTAAGAAGGACTGCGTTCCTGTATAAAAAATAATATTTTGCTTTTTTTGAACTTCTTGAGATTTCACATTTTTATTACTAGAAAGCAAGTAAAATTCTGCACTATCCCTCAATTAATCAGAGGGTTACATGAAAAGACGGGGTGTGGAATTGTTCGTCATTTCTAGTTGGTCAGGTGGTGGATATGGTCCGTGTATTGACCGATATTGTCAGAGAATACGGAATGTTGCTACCCCAATTCATCCCATGGGTGTCATAAGAGCCGACTAAAAGCGCAAAACAACGCAGGACACCAGCACTGCAAAAAGAAGGAAAACTTGACACAACCCCTATACCAACCCGTCCGGCCAGCATAGTATAGTAGGCCAAAACCTCCTTTCTAAGGAGAGACCTATGTCCAGCAGTGGACTATTAAAGGCTGTTGATGTGATGTGATGATGTGGTGGATATGGTCTGACACAGACTGTGCCATAAAAAGCCAGAACAATGCTCCAAGAAATCATATCTCCATCACCAGGAAGATATGTACATGTAAAAATTTAAACTATATACATTATATAGTTTAACAATCAAAAGAAACATATATATACTACGTCTAGTCTGGTTTTTCGCTGTTTCAAAATCGAATGGTGACTCAGAGCATAAACCAACTAATTAGTTAATAACAAAGGATTCAACTTCAAAATTGTTAAAATTTAAGATTGTCATAGTCATGCTATGAAATACAATTTGTCAACTGAATCCTTTATAATTTGAAATAATTAATTCTTATGTATAATACATTAAGTGTGGGTAAGGAGAGTAACTTTTTTTAAATTGATTAAAACTTCATCATCAACATAACTAGCCAACACAAATATAATTTACTACATTTTAAATTCTAAACAGGCAATTTAAGCAATGGAAAATTTTAATAAAGATTTTTCTTTATTTAATCAGAACAATCATCATCAATGCTATTGATATCAGAAGATAGTATAATGATAATAATTTGTTTGAGCAGTGAGTAATCAAGATCAATGAACTTTCCAAATATAATATTTATATAAAGGTACACAATAAGAACTGCTGGCAACTTATTTAAGATTAAGCTTGTCTAATTTGAAATTTGAATATTGGCTACTGTATTTTATTTTTACAAAGAAATTTTACCACCATATTGAGAAGTAAATATACAAGTTTCTTATCATAAAAAAACTGAATGTACTTACCGCAAGGCATGTCAGGTGATTTTGTTGGTACCTGAGGTACTTGATACAAGGGAGAATTTGTCATGTATGACGCCCCAGAACATGAGGAATCACTCATGTCATAATCACTAGGACTCGTGGACATTGTGCCTTAGTAAGTAAATAAAAAATATACTTTAAAAATTGAATAAAATTTGTAAATATATGTGCTCAGTAAAAGTAAAAAATGCAGACTGGCTCATAATAAGAACCTAAAATTACACGAATTGCACTAAACACTGAGAAAACAAGGAACATAGTAATAGGACTTTAGAGTATTCTATATACTGTTGTAGTTCTTATTTTTATACTAGTTTGTAAAAACTTTTTAATCAATTTTGATAAAGTGACAGCAATACTCACAGTTTAAAATGTTGCCATAATTACTTTTTCACCACCCCAGACAAATCGGCGTTCTAAGATAAAGAGAAGGACAGATCGAAGTCACATTATTCCTTTTTATTGAAATAAAAAGGAAAGTTACACGACGTCAATGAAATTTGAAATCAATTGTATCATATCAATAAATGAGGTGTAGGTTTCACGATCGACATTATTTAAAAAAAACCGTAAAGAATAAATGAAATGTGCCAAATAGACACGTTAGGTGGTACGTAATTAATGAGTAATTGGTTAAAATACAATATTATACACACTATGAATATATTAGAGCAAGATGATAGTGTAGGCTTCACATTGATTTAATTGAATTAAGTAATACTAATGTATAAAAGTTTAATTAAATAAAAGGTAATTTTAAACCATTTCTGGTTTCTTTACTTAATATTCATATTTTATTAAAATTCTTAAGGACTTTTTGCTTAATTGTCTAACTTAATAGGTATTAAGTTAGATTAATCAAGCAAAAAATCCTTTAGAATTTTAATCTAGGTAGATTCCGTGATAGATAATACTGTCCAGTTAAGTTCTGCGTGGCCTTAATAAGATTATTCAATATTACAACTTTAGATAAAGAAGTATGTAACATAATCTGATGGGATCATAGTACGTCGTCACATCATTAGAGGGGAGAAGTACCAGAAACTGTGACAAAGTAAAAAAATATTTTGAAAATCAATGTGTAATTTTTTTATCTACTCTTGAAGAATATATACCATTGCTAAATTGTCTTTGTTTTGGTATTTCATGTAATATTTATTCTTAGACTTTGTAAGTACAACCTTTTAGACAAAAAAAACAGTTTGTTTCCAAACAGGGTGACAGATATGGAATAACATTTTTACCGTGATTGCCATTTCGATGTTGGTTGGTAATTTTGAGGAGCCTGAGACTGTAAACTCCCCCGAACTATGAAAATAATATAACTTCAGATTATTATTACCTAGATTACAGGGAAATTTTCGAAAGCTGGTAACATTTTGGCAATTTTTCATTTAGGGGAATAACCGAATTATAATTCTCACTTGATTTGTTTTTTTTTTGCTTTAAACGCTTGATGATAGGTAGTAATTATGAATCTCCAAAATAATTATTGTATCTAATGAAATAGGATTCAAAGATTTTGAATGCTGAATATTTTACTTAATAAAATAAAACTACAAATACAGCAATCCGCCATGATAGCTGGAACACCAATCGGAGCGTATTACGTCATGGAATGGTAGTGTCACTTTGTTACGTTGTAGTATCTACGATTATCTGCAGTTTTACTTGTTTGCGTTGCAAATATCCCTTTATTACACTTTTCTTTCGTCATTTTATCAATTCTGAACACAAGTATCAACCTTGGAACAAAGATTTACTAAACCAAACACCACTAATCTGTCTAGTGTTGATTTGTTGATGGTGGGAGAGTTTTTAGCTTCAAACAAAAACTTCTGTTCAGCAGAATTTAGGAATGTTAAAACTATTATGTAGGTTCATTGTTCTGAACAAATTATTCAATAATTTTAATCATAAGTTTAGAGGTTCTGTTGTAGGTTTTTTTTTTAATCTTTATTTATTTACGGGGTTTTTTTATGAAGAATATGTCAACCCGATGATTGCATACAACTAAATTACACCTACAATAAAACAATAAAAAATTTATTATACTAGACTAGCCTACCCGCAACCTTATACCCATAATAACAAAATAATAAAGCGTTCATCTGGCAATGGTGAAGCCAGAACGCACATCTATCTAATCAAGGGTAGGTAAGAGCTCAGTATACCAAGAAATACAATGCTACATTTCTCCATCAGATCTCGCTTTATTTGCCAAACGATCAACCATCTCATAACCCTCCAGTCCAACGTGAGATGAAATCCACTTCAATATAATTATTTTACGTTTGACTATTATACGTAATATATTGTACACCAGTGGAAGGCCCCTAAAAGGTGAAGTATTTGTGCATTTCATCAGATGGAGAAGTGCACTTTTTGAGTCAGTGAAGATGACCAATCGATCAATGTCTAAAGATTCCACATATTCCAAAGCTTCAAAAATAGCAATCAGCTCCAAACGCATTATTGAAACTGAGGATACAATTTTTAATTTAAAAGAAACACCGATTTGTGGATCGTAAAAGGCCGCGCCACCGACATTCATGTGTCTAGAACTGTTTGTATACATACAGTAAAAGCCTGAGTACCGCGAATTTAAAGATTTGACAAATATTGTTCTAAGATTATGTGCATTATAACAATGCTAAGGTTTTTTTGAATTTTAACCAGGCTTTACAATATATAATAAGTCCATATTACTGACCCACGTGTCCAATGAGAACATGCTAATATTATTGTTGCAGTACATATGTTCGTGATTGAGAACATCGTGAGACAAAACCAACAGTGGCTTCTTTCTTATTTCTCCAATAAAGATTATTGTAACAAAAACCATGGAGCTTATCAAGTAAATCAGTTAAAGGAAAATCGTAACGCCTAGGTTTTAAATAAAATTTACTAGCGAAATATCCGCGACGTATAAAAAGAAGAAGCAATATTAGTTCAAAGCTGCCAAAGTCGATACGACTACAAATAAGGGAAATATACATTTTTCTTAAGTGGTTCGGATGAACACCCCATCAGGTTGGAACCTGGGTGGTCCAAAACCCTAAAAATATCAATCAACTTAAGTACCTGCTCACGGACCTCACTAATATGCGTCTTCCATCGAAGGCCCCTCCTATCCAGCCACAATCCTAGGTACTTGACGTGGTCTACTAACTCTCACAAAGTTCCGTTTAAACGTACTTCTATAACTGACCTTCGAAAACCCCTACTAAACAAACAGATTTTACTTTTATCGGCGGCAATATCTAATCCTACATGTGCCAACATCCTGTTGATGAGATCAAGTGCAGACTGTTGTCCCTCACTAACAGAAGAACATTGCACATATATAGCGAAGTCATCCGCGTACTGAGATACACAAATATTGTTATGTACACGTTTACGAATTTCTGATGTTATAATTTTAAATAGTACTGGAGATAACGGATCTCCCTGAGCCAAACCGCTACCAGAATGTCTGATAATAAAGCTATTACCGGATCTTATCTTGGGTACCTACTCTTATATGAAGAAAGTTCCATAGGTATCTACAGATGAAAGTACCGACTCTTAAGCTATCTAAAACATTTATTAAAACCGAATTATTTACATTGTTGTACGTATTATTTATATCTAAAAAACAACTCGTAGTAGAACAACCCTCGGTAAAACCAGTTTGAATAGTGGTGGTCAGGCAATTAAACCCGTCTAAACATGACCTACCCCTACGGAAACAAACTGTGTTCACAGAGAATGTATTGCTCTTTTAAAAAAAACCATTCCAATCACCGATATAAAACATAATGGAAAATTATGCAAATGCATGACATAATGATATTGATCGGAGTGAGGAAACGTTACTAGGGTCACGATGGGGTTTTGGAATAGGTACAATACAAATTTCGCGCCATTGAGAGGGAATAAAGCTATGTTTAAAATAATTGTTAAATAAATTAAGTACTTAGTACAAATTTACCTACATCAGGTAAATTCTTAATCATAGAATAAGATTTGTCATCACATCCAGGAGATGTATCTTTAGATTTGATACATTTATCTAGCTCTTGAATGGAGATCTCACACTCCAATGTAGGGTTACTACGGTGAATGGTAGGAGTCGTTGTGGACACATAATCGATACCCTTTCAACCATCTCATCTTAAGCCACATTTTGCTGTACGATGTAGTGTGATCAACTGAGGAACAGAAACTTTGAAAGTTCATTCTCTTAGCCTGTCAGAGTAACCTTTGCGATGTATTTATTTTACTATTAAAAATATCAAGATTTTGGGGTGTGGGAGTACACCTAAATTTAGATAAAACTAACCTACAATGGCCCAAAACTTGTGACAGTTCGGCAGTCCAGAATGGTTTCGGAGTGAAATTTGAAGTAGGGTTTTGATTAAATTTGAACATCTATATGAATTTATTAGCCGCGTCATTCAGAATGTCTAAAAATAAATTATACGCTTTTTGAAGATCATATTGGTATACATAAATTTCTTCTAAATATTTTTTATATGAAGTCGAGTCTGTTTTCCCAAAACTCCTTTTACCTAATAATTGAAGGAAAGCAGGAGGTATACAATGTTGAAACTTTAATAATAAGTGGTCGCTGCCGATATTTTCATGTAAAACGGTCCAATTAAAGCTTAACGCAATATCTATAGAAACCAATGAAATATCTGAGGAGGACTTTTGTAAGTTGCTATCAACTAATCGAACTCGTGTATGTGTTCCATCATTTAAAGAAATAACGTTGTTATCTATTATTGAGTCGTGAATCAGACTACCTCTGCGGTCAGTTTGATAAGACCGACTGACGTGATGAGCATTAAAGTCAACAAAAATTAACGTTTTGGACGGTAGTAACGAAGATCTCTTATTTAGGGTATTACATACCTCTGGTCAGCATGTGACCACGGCCGGTGCAACCTGGTCGAAACGTCAGGCAAACCAGAGGTATGTAATACCCTAAATAAGAGATCGCGTTAATTCCCGTTAAATAATATTAATTATCATGGAACGCGAAAGTTTAAAAGTTAGGGTAGTAACGAAAACAGATTATCCCAATCCTGCTAAGTGGTTGCGATTCTTGATGGACAATAAAAGGAAACAATATTTTCAAGCGGTTCACAGTTAAATAATTTCACGCACACTACCTTAATGCCGTCATCATTGACGAGAACGCGATGCAACTGCGACTTAATAGATTTATGTACTATAATAGCTATACCGCCGCATTAGTCATCCCTGTCCGCGCGATAAACATCATAACAACTGACTTTAAAGTTACTTTCTGGTTGAAGCCATGTCTCACTAAGGAGAGCAAAATGTACTTTTTCCTGACACAAAAGTTCATAAAAAGAAGCCAACTTTGGCCTTATGCTTTGGGAATTCTTCTGGAATATATTTAATTTAAGTGGTTTGTTAGCCATCACAAGGAATAAAAAAGTTATACAGAGCTTTTATCCACGGCTACTCTGAAACAAAACTCTCTGTTTTTTTGAGATACATAACACAGTTCTTTGAAAGAAGAAGGGCATTCATCTTTATCTTCTTCATCAAAAGACAATTGGTGAGTGTTTCTTTCGTCTGTTTCTGCAGTCCAAAACATCCAATATTCTTAAAGTGTTTTTTTTTTTTACCGGGTTTAGGGTACCATTGTCCTTAGTAGCCGTGGCAGGAGTTTTTAACTTGCGTATTTTTTAATTACTTCGGCAAAGGTAGGATTTTGGGTTTGTAAATAATTTTTTCAAGAGGGGTAGAGGAAAATCAATTTTCAATGAAAACCGGAGTTTGTGGATGGACGATAGTAGCGGGAGCTTTGGGGGGCACATAACACTCCAGAGCTTTTCTATATGTGCATCCAAACTCGGACATAATCTCTCTTAGTCTTCTCTCTTTCTTGTAAACTGGACAAGACCTGCTAAGCGATGTGTGGTCTCCAACATATGGAACACTGTGTCACTTGGTGTACGTAAGGTAAAACTTTAATATTAATATCGTATACACGAACTGATGCTGGCAAAAGGTCACCCTCGAAACAAAGCCTAAGGGTTTCGCTGGGGCACCAACCACCTTCATTAATATTGCGACGGTCTAGCCTCTCAAAGGGTCCGGACAAGAAATATTTTTGTGAATCTTGTCGTCAGTAAAATCGAGGTCTATCTACGTCTTTAATTATGACATAGCAAACAGACAGCTGCATAGCCTTTTGGAACCTCAATCCTTAAAAAGCTATCCTAAAAGCTTCTCGCACATAAGGTTTTGGCAGCCGATTCCCAGTAAAATCGGAAGCGTATTTTAAAAGGGCTTAAATATTTGACTTCACTTATTTTAGTGATATTATTTTGTTTTAAAATACGTGCCATTGCTGACTGTTTCGGAAGGAGTTCTTCATGCGAAACATACACCTCATACTTTTTTTCTTTTGCAGAATTTCCACTACCTTTACAGATCTTTCTTTGCTCGCCTGAACTTCTTTCCAAACTTCTTCGTCTTCAGTACTGTCCTCTCTATCCCTCTTTTCTGCCCTTGACTGCTTCTCTTTTTTTTACAATCAACTCTCGGCGCAGTGTGTAGCGATTATATCCGACCGTGTAGCGACAGAGAACACAACCAGACGGCACGAGTGCCGATGCGGTTATGATGTTGTAAATATTTTGTTTTGATCAACTTTACCTGTACTATAATTTATTCTAAGATCATTCTTTACTTTGTTATAGGTCCTCCAGGCCATCCTATAGTGATGACGCTGTGAGCTATGTACAGCTTAATCGTGAAGGCAATCTGTGCACAGCAAAAGCTAAAATTTTCCTAGAACATTAAGTCTACTTAGAATTGTACGGGTGACAGTAATCGTCGACGAAAACGATGAAACAATCAAATCTGTGGAGTGTCATGACTGTTTTGCTTCACAAGGAGGCATGCTTGCAGCATGCTAAAACCTAAACAGTACACAACCAAACTACAATTTTTCAAACAATTATTGCCACTAAGTCCTTTAATTTTATTTGTTGTGGTGGTGTTTTTATAATTTTACTTTGGTATTTTATCTTCAGTGAATTTGAATGAGATAAACATGCTAAAGAACAAATTGAATGCATGGCTAAGCACACGTCGGTTGGGAGTGTAAAGCAAACATCAGCTAAGTGGAGTCATAATGGGATTTATCTAAGTTAGTAATATTTAGCTTCACTTAAATGTCGCCTTAGTGTCAAATATAGATGTTTTATCCCATAAGACAATTAATATACCTACACATTCTCATATAATTTCTCATTATTTTATAGCATAATAGTTAAGGCTGTGTGCTATTATAATTGTAGATCCATTGCTCATTTTCCTTCATCCAAGTTACTTTGGTGTATATAAGTCTGCAGTTGAGATTGGTATCCTAGTAAACTATCAGGTGTAAGGTACAAAAAATCAGCAAATATTAATTTGTAACATTTATTTAATCTTAAAATTGTAAACATAAAACAAAAAAGGTTTAACTAGAAATTCATAATATAAAGTTGTTGTTTGATATTGCTCAACTAGCAACTCCAACTTAGATATTCCTAAAGTGGAATGTGTGAATAAAATAAAACTAAAAATATAACATTAAAAATGATTTAAAGATCTTTTAATAAACTTGATAGTCTTTCGAGTACAAGTTAACATATTGTTAATAAGTTACTTGATGACATTATTATAAAACAATTTAACTATAACCAAATACAATTTTGAAAAGAAATGAATATCTACATATGTTTTAGTAAAGTGAGTCCTATAGTAAGTTTGGCTTAATTTAGGAACAATTTTGATACATGTTTTTGAATTGAGATTGAGATTTCATGCATATTCGAAGATAATCAGATAAAGCACAGTAAATTATTCCTAAGATACTAAATTACTCTTAAACATAAAAACCTATTTACTATTCTGTTGTAACTAACTGTAATAACTGTTCAATTATTTAAGGGAGTTGACAAGAGCAAACGATCTTTAATTGGGTTTGTTCTGACAACATATTATTTATTATCAATTTTTTTTAATAATTTGAAATTTGATAATGCAAAATATTCTTGCTATAACTTTGTATTGATCTAAATTTTTGAATTTTATATATAAAGAAGAAAATTATGAATTTGTTACAATATTGTTGCTTATAACTACATAGTCTACATAAAATCTTATCTTAAGGAGGTTATCTTTTATGTTGTCACTGAAGCGTTTAAGGGCACTTTCCAGGTGTGCTTCAGTGATGGAAAAGCCTGAGATTGGTGTGTGCCATAATGATTTTGTGTTCATTGCAGGCGTCTATAACTTCTTTGTCGTTGTTCGAGCCGGATGGACTACCGATGTATTCAACACCACACTGATAAAAAAAAAGTTATTAGAAATCTGTCATCATATACATATATCATTATGTATACAGTCTTCCCTTCCTAAGAAATTGGATTACGAAAGGCAAAAATAATGCTTCATAACAAACTGGTTATTTCCAGAGACTAGCGCTTTATTATTACATCATTATTTTCTGCTTATATCCTAATTCTATATGTGGTCAATATAATGTCAACTGTTTTTCATTAGTAGTCCACTGCCGGACATAGGCCTTTCCTTAGAATGGAGGTTTTGGTCTTCAATACCACCCTGGCAAGACGGGTTGTTTGTTTCAAGTATTCCTTGTCTTTGTAGTCCTGTTGTAGTGTGTCCTGCGTAGTTTGCTCCCTTAGTCGGCGCTTACGATACCCATGGGATGAATAGAGGTGGTGACACTCCGTATTCTTAATCCGTCACCACACGGACATGTTTTTCATTAATGCCCGTTTAAATGGCGTCAATCTCCTTGGGTGTTAATAGTTTTCATACAGGGCCAAGAAAAAAGACAAACTTGTTTAAAGAAAATGCATAGGACAAGGGATCTAGAGTTTGAGTTTCTGCAAGTTTCAGATGGGGTAATGGGATTGCAGTAGGTCAAATAAAGCGTGGTTGTGTACACGTGTGCATAATGTATGTGGAGATGCCACTGAGATAAGGACATTTAAGATTAGTGCTTCAAACAAAATAAAAACATATTCTAACAAACCTGTACAGCTCTGTCGATGTTATCTCTGAAGGGAAAGAACGCATCAGAGGCTAGAGCAACGCGGTCCATTTTGCTGATCCATTCTTCGCGTTCTTTTTCAGTGAGGAGGGCAGGGGCTGGCCCGTCAAATAGAGTATTCCATTGCTCTAGAGGTAGATCTGAACCTGTGTCATACAATTGTATATTAATAATCTGGTTGTTTAGTTCTTGGATTTGTAATTTAAATTTTTGAAAAGTTACCTTGTTTACATTTTTTTTTGTTTCATAATTGTGCTTGAAAAAGTTTACGACACATATTGAAGTTAATAAAGTGCAGACTTAAGTTTTGATCAAGTATCTAGTAGAGAACCGATGGGTTGTGAGTTTGATCATTGTTCAAGTAGTTTTTGGTATCTTTACATCACTCATTAAATAAAGAAAATAAAATCAAGTTTAAACTTTATTTTATTGCCTATTTTTTTTTGTTAAAGTCATTGTAGTATCGTTCACTATGTAAATTTTATAGGTCTACCCTATCACTATAATAACGATATATTTAGCGACCGTTGAGCGAAATCACGACTTTCAATTTATTTCTCTTATTTAAATTTATAAACAGACTGAAGGACAGTAGGCATAGGGTGAGTAATAAGGGCCATCTGTCACCCTAGCAGAAGCAGGCCGGGGTGGTGGCGAGCGCGTTGCGAAGCGTGCTCGCTTCCAGGGAGCACAGGGAACATGGGGTTCCCACACGGGGGGGTCGTCTATTCGTCTGTAGATGACCCGAGGTATGTCGGGGCACCAGGGACTTCTTTTCTAGGGTATACCTGGTTCCCCGGCTATTAGTACCCGAGACGGCGTGCGGTTTTAGTCGGTTCGAGTCCGACATGCCACCGACAGGTGGTATCCGAGGGGATTTCCGCACGGAAAAAAAAAAAAAAAAGGTGAGTAATAAGGCATTACTGCATCTAAAAAGAGGCGCACACCGTTTATTATGTTCTGTGAATTAGGTTTAAGTTATTATTCGATATACGAGTAATAACGAAACAATCGCTATTCTTTTCTATAGCTATTCAATAAAATATGCCCGGCAATCACAGAACGGCCCGGGAGGCTCCTGCGCTCGGTCGGCTCACCTAGCCGGGCCAGGTTACGAGGGAGAGGGGCAGTACTGACCGACGGTGCCGTTGACGTAGTTGTCGACGGCGTTGGCCTGCACGGCGCGCGTGACGCCGGGCAGGAAGCGGAAGGCGCGCACGCGCGGATGGCGCCGCAGCCACCACAGCGCCGCCTTGCCGCCCGCCAGCCGCGTGCAGTGGATGCGCGACTGCTGCCCCGCGCCGATGCCCACCACCTGTCTTACACTCGCTCGATCGTAACGTCGGCTTATTGCAAGAAGTCATTATGTGACATATTCATTATTTAGGGAAAACGGCATTTCAGTTGGAGTTAGTTAGCGGTTATGTTAATTAGCCCATATTATCCTTAATACATAAGCTAGAAATTAGTGTGTTTTTGCATTTTGTAGAATATGTAAAAAATAAGCCCATTATAGATAAAAACGTATTTAGTGATTTTTTGCAGTTAATGAGTTCATGTAATAAGCCGACGATAATCTCTAAATATATCTATACAAATAAATCTAATTCAAGTGTCTGTTTGTAATATCACAGTAATAGGTTTTCTTCATGCTCACACCTAACGGTTTGCGCGATACTTATGCCTGAAAACCAGTTTAAATATTTTTTATCTGTCTGTATGTTTGTTCTGAGTAATCTTCTAAACGGTTGGACCGATTTGATAATATTTTACTACCAAGTAGCTATATATACAAGGAGTAACTCACTTTTCCTGCGTGGGAATTGAACCCACTACCTCTGGTTTAGCACTCAGGATTACTAACTACTAGACTGACAGGCCACTTTAAAAAAATACAATATTCCATACAAGTTACATTACTACGCCCCTTTTATCATGTATTATCCATAAAAAACATTTATCACACACATTAGGTAACTCAATCGACTATTCTGCTTACAGTTTGGCTAGCGTTCAATTTTTTTACTCCCTTTTTTTTAAATGTAACACGATGATAGGCCGAGTAGCTAAGGGTTGAAGAATATACATTCTTTAAAATTAATTAGAACACTTCGCTCAATTGATTAATTACCTGTCCATCTCTGGCGTAACAAACAGAGTTACTTTGAGTATACTTTAACGCAATGGTAGCCACGATCAAATCTCTCACAGCGTTCGGAGGCAGCTCCTTCTTAGTCGTGACGATATTGTTAAACAGCTCCGACGTGATCTTCGCGTCATTACGTCTCTGTTCTAGAGTAAGACCGAAAATTGTCTTTTGCTCCAGTAAATCTGGTTCATAATTTGGATCCATCTGAAAATAAACATTAGAAATATGATACTTTTGAAATTACATACATATTTTCTTCAATTGCATAATGCGTTTCGTAGCAGACTGAAAGCCGACCCCAACCTAGTTTGGGAAAGGCTCAGGGGATACTCCTATTATATTTGCATCCGCCTTGCTAGGCTCGAGTAAAATATGGTTAGGTAAAGTGGGTAACACAGTAGACAGTGGAGGTGAGCGCTGACGCGTCGCAAGGAGTACTCCCTAAACCTATTCCTGGGTCGAAATTCCCAGGCGCTGTCATAGTTGCATGTGTTGCCCCTATCTATCACGCGATGGACCCGGCACCCGTACGGTGAATCCATGGAACGCTAAGAAATGGGTCTAGAGGCAGACGAGCTGAGGGATCACCTGGTGATAAGTGACTTCGGGGTCGCCAATATACACCTGCGCCTGCAACTCAAAAGACGCAAGTGCGTTGCCGCGGTTTTAAGTGTCTCTCCAAAATAAAGGAGGCTCGGTAACCTCAAGCAAACAGCAACGAAACAATTGCTAACATTTAAACTCAAACGCCACCGTCAATGCCGAATATTCCGAAAAATTATCTTAAGTGAAAAGAATTGTCTTTTTAACTAATATGTACAAACCTGTAAAACGCAGTAGCTGCCACCCTTTTTCTTCTTCAGCAGCTCCAAAGCTTCCGGGGTGTAGCCGGGAGCCACGATACCGTCGGACACCTCCCGGGATATGATCCTGGCGGTGACGGCGTCGCACACGTCGGACAGCGCCACGAAGTCTCCGAACGAGCTCATGCGGTCCGCGCCGCGCGCACGCGCGTACGCGCTCGCCAGCGGCGACAGCTGCGCCCACAGGTCCGACACCATGCACACGGACGCCTACCGACAAATCGGTTATACTCACTACTCTTTTATATACCCAATAGTAATACTGCAGACGATTAAAGACTCACTTTCCAAAAACTCACTTCACATATCATTCTTTTTGTCATCATATAATAACATAATGTCATTAATTAAAATAACTTTAAATCATTAAAGAACAAGCGAACCTTGCAGTCGCTACATCTGACGTATAATATCTTATACCTTATACATACCTTCTGCGGGCTAACTCGAGCACCGCGCGCGCTAATTTGTCAAGTGAAATAATAAACGCTTCCTCAGTTTTCTGTTACATATTTCCGTTCCTTTTTACAGAATCATTTCAACAGATTACAGGAAAACGAGAAGAAAAATGTGTGATCACATCATTTTTTTTTAATCATAAGTTACGAAAAGCATCACTAAGTTTATGTGACAGCTCAATTCAAGTTCCGTTGCCATTAAATGCCCAAAACAGATATCATGACATTTTTATGACTTCATAAATATTCTTATCCGACTCCTATGTGGTAGTAAAATTACTTGAGAAATTTATTTTACATAGATTTGATACTTTAGCTAGGAACGCATGTTTTTCTACACGACACTTACCTCTTCCTCGGTCAAGGGAATACCCACAGCTGCGCCCGCGGGAGAGACGTGCTTAAAGCTCGTGGCTGCCGGTAGTCCTAAAGCCTCTTTTAGCTCCTTAACTAGCTGCCAAGCGTTGAGAGCATCACACAAATTGATGAAACCAGGCGAGCCGTTGAGGGTGGTGAGCGGCAGACGGTCGCGTGTCGTAAACACTTGAGCTGGTTTTTGATGAGGATTCATTCCTGGAATAAGAAAGTTCACATAGATATAACAATAATTGGCCAAAGTTTGAAAACGAGTCATCTCTTTTTGGTATTCATGCCAGATCCAAATACAACATGTGTATTGTTGAGACTTTACTGAACTTTGAATATTGTAAGGAGTGTTGTGTGTTGATCACATCATCACATCACATCACATCAATAGCCTTTAATAGTCCACTGCTGGACATAGGCCTCTCCTGAAAAAGGAGGTTTTGGCCTACTATACCACGCTGGCCAGACGGGTTGGTATAGGGTTTGTGTCCAGTTTTCCTTCTTTTTGCAGTGCCGGTGTCCTGGTGTTGTTTTGCGCCCTTAGTCGGCTCTTACGGCACCCACGAGATGAATTGGGGTAGTGACATTCCGTATTCTTAATCCGCCACTACACGGACAACTGTGTTTTGATAGAAAAATACAAATAGGTCTCAAATCAGATAAACGGAGACCGTGTTTTTATGAGGTATTAAACATAAATGAAAAAATAATTTTAATAGAAATAGAGAAAATTAGCTACAATAATACAGAAGCAGAACGAGGTATGTTATGTAAGCTTACCATATCTAAGAGTAAGTTGCGACTGTCCACCTGAATACTGTCTACGGAAATAGTCTGAAATAGCCAGGTCATACTCCGATGTGTGTGTAAACGCTTTTAGAGCCAGCAATTTCCTAGAAATTTAATATTGACATTTCATGAAATAGTTGAGAAAAAAACCGCCTTTATACTGAGTAAAAAATTAGACAAAACCTCTTTGATATTCTAACTTTTAAACTTTCGCGTTTCATATATATGGGAAAGGGGCAGAAAAATATAGATAATCTTGCATTAGGGAAATTAATAATGAAAAAACGTTTATAAAAAAACAATATTCATTTTGATTACCTGAAATATTCCTGTAGTGTCATTAGATAAGCTAGACCTGTTAATAAGCAGTTTTTTTCTTATAATGTTACCTGTTATATTGAGGGTACTTATTATAGTTTTTTACTTAGATTTGTAATTATTTTGTAATTTTTAGTGCTCTTTGTCAGTATTGTTTGAAGTCGGTTCAACTTTTTTTTCAAAAGGATTTATTTTACTATTTTAAGTGTAAGATATGTTTGTAATAAGTTGATAAGTACGAAATTTAAAAAAACTACGTACCGTAAAGTATATTAAAAAACTGTAGTATGTTCGATTATATGAAATTAAGTTTAATAAGTCCGTTACTTTATTTAGATAAGATAGTAAGATGTTACATTTGAAGCGGAAAATATATTGTTTTCCACATTACTTAATTTGCAAAAACTAGGAGTGGTATTTTCTCCTCACATTAGAATGTAACCAAAGGGGAAATATACCCTTCCAAATAAAAAAATAATTTTCATAATCGGATTACAAGTGAAAGAGTTTTGAGGTAAATTTTTGCGTAACACACGTTTTTTTTGTCTGAATGTTTTGTAATCTCATACATGTATTACTCTCTTGTGCACATATCTCTGTAACCCAACACAAACACCTAACAAAGATCTTGAAAGCATAAAACAAGGTCAATACATGATTAGATTTTTGAAAGAGTTATCCGCTAACTCCTAAACTCCTTCCATCATCAGCTCAGCAACATAGCATAACGATTACTAAACGCAAACACCGATATAACGAGAGAAATGAGCTAAAACACGTTGTCGAGGCTGTAAAATTTGAGGGTTTCCCTCGATTTCTCTAGGATCCCATTATCAGATCCTGATTTGATGGTAATGGGACCACCTCGGAGGTACAAAAAGAATTTTGAAAATCGGTCTACAATTAACGACGATATCGCGTAACAAACATACAAAAAAAAACAGCCGCATTAATAACCTCCTTTTTTGTGTTTTTGAAGTCGGTTAAAAATTCAAAGTAAAGAAGCTACTATTACTAATTTTTAACAACTTTTTCGAATCAATGGGTATCTTAAAATCTTAAATGTAAAATTAACATTTCAAATATTTATATTTTTATATTTCATAAGTGTAACAGAAAATTTATGCGTCAGTGTGCGTCCTTTTATTTTGCCTGCTATTGTTAACAATGTTCTTTTAACTGTGGAGTATAAAATTATTTTATCATTACGGAACACAAAACTTACCTTGTTTCCAAAGATGTCTGATGATCTTTGCTCTTCATTAATTCTTCAACAACTTTATCGTAATCACTGGGGTCACAGATCACTGTGACTCTATCGTGGTTCTTAGCAGCAGCTCTTAGCAGTGTTACTCCTCCAATGTCGATGTTTTCAACTGCATCAGCGATGGTCACACCAGGCTTTGATACTGTTTGTACGAACGGGTACAGGTTGCACACGACTACGCTTATCATGTCAAACTTCTGTCGCTTCATATCTTCCTGGTCCGAATCAGTTAGCCTAAAAAATGATATTACATTAGGGGGGCTTAACTTCAAGATAGCTTGTAGTATAATGAACAGCAAAAATATGAAGCATGAGGGTGGCTAAAATTGTCTATATTTAGATATTTTTTTCGATCTTTTACATTAATAAATACAAAAGATAATAAATAATATGTATGTAGTGTTGGGTATATACGAAAATCATCAGCTACCTACTGTGACCTCAAAAATTCTGGAGGATAAAAATCTAGAAAACCCATGAGAACCTACGAAACTTTGAACGAACCCTGATCTTTTGTCGTTGGTCGATAAGAAATTATAAAACTACAAATAGGTCTGTCTGCTATAAAGTATACTGTAAATTTACTGATACCTAATAACAATACTGTCATTATAAAAAATGAAAAATAATTTAGTCTTCTTTTACAAGTTACAGGTGGTTTCACAACCGTGATATAATATATAGAGTACAAACAAACCTCGATAAAATTCCAGCGTGAACAGCCGGATGTAAGGTCTTAACGCGACCGCCTAACATTTCAGGTGCTTTCGTGATATCCGATACTTCGGTGACGTTGAAGCCGGCATTGCGTAAGGTGCTTGAGGTGCCACCACTAGCCACCAGACCAAGACCAATCTCTGATAAACATTTGGCCAAGGGCAGTAGACCAGCCTTGTCTGATACGCTTAGGAGTGCTGGAAGACATATTTCATAGGTTTATAATTAAGTCATACCTATAAATTGGTGTACTGTAGATTACAAGGTGTTGAACATTGTCCCAAGAAACACCCAGAAACTCAAACGTGATTTCCACGACAAAAGTAACAAATATTTTAAATAAATATTGCTTAGAGCGATAATCATGATTCTTTCTTTCCATCAGAGTAGCAAAGTTTATTTAGAATAAAAGAAGCTTTACATTCAATAATCACAGTTTACATAAATTATGTTTTATTCATTTCTATAGTATTAATCTTAATATTATTAATTTAACGTTTTAGACGGCCCAGCAACATATTCGTTTATAGAATCCTCGAGAAAAATAAGTAGACACTTTCTTACCTAACTTTCCGTTAGCAGCCATGTTGTTCTTGTTAAATGTTTTGTAATAATGACTACAAGAGATAATTGTTCCCAGCGAGCTTATATTTACTTCGTATTCTTGACCTTATGCAGGGGTTCCTGATAACAAACAATCGTGTTTACTAAGCGGCTAGGGCTGTGCGAATCAAAAATTAAATTCAATAAAGGAGAATTTTAATAATAATACGCTATCAGGTTAAATATATGTCACATTATCTGATTTTTTTTTTTAACATTACGCCAGAAATACGTACAATTAAGACGAAAACAATTCAATCACGTTACATTCTAAACTTAAAAGCAAGTATTTTTTTTTATTAAAGGTCGATGTAGTGGAGCATTCTCCTTTCGGCACTAATTTTTGTAACCTCAATTACCTTAGTTACCTTAATTTAGCTTGCTGTCAATAGCTAACCCCACATAGGTATGTGTCGTTATGGTTTGTATGGCGGTACAGTTACATGGATCATGTGATGACGTGTGTAAGCAGTTGTGGTTGTGTGCACGTATGTCTTTGAATTGAGGTTTATCCAGGTATTGAGATTTTATATGCAGTAGTTTGGTTTTTGTCAGAATTTAACACCAGACCTGCATCATGACACCACTTTAAAACTGTATCGAAGTCGGACTGTAAGAGTTCTACGGCCTTTTGCGCGTTATGGTGTGATGCAACGGGACAGGTGTCGTTGGCAAATTGATAACAAGAGCTCCATTTAACACACTTATCTAGATCGTTTACGTCAAAAAGTGAAGAGGCCCCAAGACAGATCCTTGCGCCGTGCCTTCTGTAATTGTAATATAGTCGTTGTACGTGTTATCTACCTTCACGGTGAACTTGCGGTTAAGGAGGTAATTTTCACACCAAGAAAGTAGTGGACCGCGTATCCCAAATTTGTCTAATTTGCTGATTAATAGTTTGCGGTCTAGTGTGTCAAAAGCGGGGGAAAAGACTATAAAAATAACTAGGACATGCTTTCTGTTATTTAGGAACATGTTCACTTCATCTGTAAACTTCGATAGCAATTCGTTTGTTCCTTTACTAGTTTGAAATCCGAACTGTCAATGGTATATGATTTCATGTTTTTTGTTAGAATCGCTGTGCCTGTAGACTTCTCCAGTATTTTATCTATAGAAGATAATAATAAAGTTATCAGCCGATAGTTGAGGTAATTTCCTTTTGAATCTTTCTGGTGAACCGGTCTTACATAGCCAACTTTAAGTTGATCAGAATATAAGCCAGTCCGGTCAGCAATAACATCCAAGATGTTTTCAGCTATTTCTTTAATATGAGATATTTAAATGTTGTCGTGTCCTGGCGATTTGTTGGGTTTTAAATTATTAATGACCTTAAGTACTTGTTCACTAGAAACTTTTTGATAAAACGTACGTTTGACACTACGTACTGTAATGTTTATATTACCAAGCTGTAGTATGTGAGATTAAATTAATTAAGTCCTTACTTTATTTAGATAAGGGACATAGTAAGATGTTAAATTTAAACCCAAAAATATATTGTTTTCAACATTACTTTATTTTCCACAAAAATAATTATCCAAATCGATTAAAAATGAAAGTCTTGAGGTAATAAACATGAAAATAATTGTGTTACAATGTTCTTTTAGTCTCAGTGTTTTGTAATCTCATATTACTCTCTCGTGCACATATCTCTGTACCCCAACACAAACACCTAACAAATATCTTAAAAGAATAAAACAAGGTCAATACATGGTTAGATTTTTGGAAGAGTTATCCGCTAACTCATAAACTCCTAAAAATTCATCAGCTCAGCAACATAGCATAACGACTACTAAACGCAAATACCTATGTAGCGAGAGAAATAATTTAAAACGCGTTGTCGGGGCTGAAAAATTGGAAGTTATCCTTCCATTTCTCTAGGAACCCATCATCAGATCCTGATTTGGTAGTAATGGGACCACCGAAGTATAGCCTTTGCATCAGGAGATCAGGATGTCAGGAAGTCGTGACACGTTCAAAGCTAAAGTCCGAGAATTCTACAGGAAACAGCTAGCAGAAATATCCTCATGATATCGTCACTCAAACTTTATTGTATTTATTATATTCCGTACATATGTATAATATATTAATAGTTATCTATGTATTCGTCTATCTACACTGGACAGCAAATAAACCGAGCCACCCGCTACCTAGGCACTCTAATTCGATTTTCTCAAAAACTAAAAAACCTACAATTAACAAAGTTGTACCTACAGAAAGTGCGTTTCATGGTGATTAAAATGAAAGGAAACTCATTGGGTTTAATCAATATTTCAGTGTTTATTAAGGATTTTACAAAGAAGAGTCGTTTTCCAGTCGTGACAATCGTTAGTAATGATAAAGTGAAAAAAATAATTAAAGCCAAAAACAAAGATAAAATCAAAAAAAAAGTTTTTGATCAATATTCCGTATTCCCTCCCCTTGCTCGGATAACTGCCAGCATCCTTGTATTCATCGACCTTACGAGCCTGACGATAAAATCTTGAGGAATTGTATTCCACTCCTCTTCAATTGCGATTTGCAGCTCTGGAAGCCTTGTTGGAGCAGGTACCCGGGCTCGAACCCGACGTTTCAGCTCATCCCATAAGTGTTCTATCGGATTCAAGTCCGGGCTTCGAGCTGGCCAGTCCATCGTACGAATGCTGACGTCGCGTAGATACTGGGTCACCACATGAGCAACATGAGGCCGTGCATTATCATGCATCAATTGCATATCCTGTCCGATATATCCTGCGTAAGGTACCACATGGTCTGCGAGGATTTCAGTAATGTAGCGATGAGAAGTCAGTCCACGTGTACGGCCCGTCGGTTCGATGAAAACTAACGCTGTATGTGCTGTTAACGAGATGCCGCCCCAGACCATTACAGATCCTCCTCCATAAGCAACAGTTTCCTCGATGCAACACTGAGAATAACGTTCTCCAGGGCGACGATATACTCTCTGACGTCGATCACTTCCATGTAGACTCACCCTGGTCTCATCAGTGAAGAGTACATTACTCCACTGCTCTAATGTCCAATCCCTATGCTCTCGAGCAAATTCAAGACGTGCTCGACGGTGTGCTACCGTTAATGCTGGGCCTGTTGCAGCTCTTTTTGGGGTCAGGTTCCGTTCAGCAAGTCTCCTTCTGACGGTATCTGAACTTATGACCACTTGGCGTTCGTCACGCAGACTTTGTTGGACTTGAACTGCGTTGAGGTGGCGATTTCGCAGAACAGTAAGGTCGATATAACGATCATCTGCTGCTGATGTAGCCCTAGGTCCGTACCTGGACGGCGATCGAATGCTCCAGTCTCTAGGTATCGTCTGTAAACTCGTTGCACCGAAGATCTGCTGATTCGAAGCCTTCGAGCGACTTCACGTTGCGCAATGCCTGCTTGAAGTAATGCTACAGCTTGAGCTGCTTCCTGAGGTGTTGTATCCATTATTAATCGAAAAAAGTAGCAAAAACACACGCGTCTGAGCAAACGATGGACAAAAACTAAAGAAATGATAAGAAATATCCGACTACCCTCATTGTAGAGAAAAAGAACGCTAATTTCAAACTCTGGTGAAAACAGAGCAAATCGTTAGCATTGTGTTTGTTGCTTGATTACAATGTGAGTTGACGGTACTTTCGACTTAATTTTTAGTCATTTTAATCACCATGAAACGCACTTTTTGTAGGTATAACTTTGATAGTTGTAAGTTTTACACTTTTTGAGAAAATCGAATCAGAGTTCCTAGGTAGCGGGTGGCTCGGTTTATTTGCTGACCAGTGTATTTCAAATAGTATTATCAAATTAATGTTATATTTTCATAGCTTCTCTTCTTATTACATAATACATGTGCACCTGCCATGTCCCTTACTGAACCATCTTAAGGTTGACTGGTAGATAATGCCATGTGGCATTAAGTCCGCCTCGTGCAAACTGTAATGCAGGAAGTGTAAATATAAATAAAAATAAAAGAACAAATACAGGCCAAAAACTTCGTTAAAATATTAGGGGCACTAACCTGGCACACCACCACTAGCGATAGCCCTAAATATTATCGTGATGTAAATTAAACAGATATTGCTCTTTAACAACTGAAAATTGAACAAACAAATTTTATTATTAAATTAACCGATAATATTGTACGTTATTTTTGAATCATTGACGTCCGAGTTGCAGATATAATGTTTTATTTAGTGAACTCTCTCGCTCCTTTAGTCAAAACTATCTATTAGACTGTTACGGGTCTTTAAATTATTACTGAGCTTTGCCAACTATCCATCTACATGCTTCACACTCGAACTTTCGACGTTCAACGTCATGTAGATAAGAAATGGAACCTCTCAGTTCAGACCTAAGGGCCTAGTGTGGTTAGTCACGGTAACCGCGTTCGGTGTTAGTCTTGGCCCGCACTAAAATCTTCACTTCACCAATCGCAATGCCAAACGCGCAATCGGCCCTCTGGTCAAAGTACAAAACAACTGGCAAAAGCGTTTTAACAGTGTACCATACTACACGCAAAGCAAACTACTTACAAAAATGAATAGGATTGTAAAGTGACCGGTCATCTTGCAGCGATGGGTTCATTATCCACTTGAAAGCGATTGTCACGTATTATGTTACAGCTGAGAATTTTCACCAGTTTTGTTTCACCAAAGAGAAAATATTTAGTGTTTATTTAGTGTAATTGTGCATTTTATTTTTTATATAACGTGACGACCTAAAGATTATTATTAAGACAGTTGAAGTTTCGTTACGGGCTGGTTTACTTGTAGGCATAAGATCGGTTATTCTAGTCATAAATAAATGTGATAACAAACTATATTACATTATATATTATATGACATGGTAATTATGTGTACGCACGGGAATTAATATGCTACCACGGCCACTGCCGTACGTATACATAGACATGAACAACTTGAAAGTTTATGAACTAGTATAAAAAACAAATTTAGATGTTATTTGGATGTTTGAGTTATGGTTACTTTTTTATTAATTTCAGTACAT